TTCCATCGAAGTCAGTTGACACTACTCCTTATGGTTGTAGTGTCAACTGTAGAGTTTGTCTTGACTGATTAGTTGCACTAGTACATTTATGTATTGAACAGGATCCCAGAGATGAGAAGTTCATTTTATACTGATCGTCGTAAATGAACTAGGCCACGGTTAATTACTGCGTTCTCTTAACCCGTAAGATATTAAACAGGCAGATATGTATAATATATATTACTTTGATTCACATGGGTGAGGTTCAGTTCGCTGGATTAATATTCCTACTGTTTTGGTTAATATTATTATATATAGGATGTGCTGTTAGGATATTTACGGTCACCATGTGCGTTAGTTTGATGATGTCTCCGGAGTGAGTTCATGAAGGATTGTTATGTTAAACCCTGCAGGTGGATTAAGTTCCGGCATAATAAGAATGTGATGAACAAGCGCTAGCTTCGGTGAAATAATAATAAATTAATTAATTCTTGATTGTCAGTAATCGAATTAATTAATGGACATTATATCTTAAACGTGGGGAGGTAAATCGAGTAATTATTATTGAAATCTCAAATGTAATTTGGGCTAGGATGAGGGAGTGCAATAATATAATGTTGGTGGCCCATTAATATTATTTAATTAATTAGAGGAGTGGGCTTGGCCCACAGTTAGTCTAATTAGTTACGTAGCCCTTTTCCTAATCTCCTACAGGTCCTTACTGTAGCTCTATGTATACATCATTAAGCTCATGAGAAGATAACAGAATTCCTATTCTAACGTGAGACACGCCCCCACGCGCCGCCGGAAGCTCCCAGGCTGCAAAATTTCGTTTTGATCTGTTTGCATCCGTTTGATCCGGTTTTGATCTGATCTTGTTGGTGCAACCCAAGACGTGATTTGCGGTCAATCAATTGCGGTCAACCGTTCGTGGTCAACCAAATCTACATAAATTTTAAGCCATAAGTTCTCTACGTCAAACCTTTACATCCACTGCGCATAGGTTTACGTTTGCTATTGAATTCGTGACTTGTACATAACGAGATCCTCACAGATCCCAACACGGAGCTACTTCTGCCGCCGTACATGTCCAACACATGGTCGCTGCACAACGATTTCGTCATTCAACTGAGGGCCGAGATACTGGCGGCCCCAAGCAAGCGCCATTTTTTTTTCTCGGTAATAATTCCGTCCGACCGGCCTCCGGCCAGAGCCTCTCACGCCGCCGCGCCTCCGCCATATTCAGTCGCGACCATCCCGTCACCAGCCATCGTCACAGTAATCCTATCGCTGCCACACACACACACACACACAACCGCCGCCCGCCATCCGACAGGCATCTGAAGCCGACAACACCATCCCAGCATCGCTCGTCGCCTCCGACAGTCACATCCCGATCCCGCCGCCCGCCATCGCCGGTCCGACATCATTATCGCCTTCATCTATCGACGAAATTATCCCATTTGCTTCTGCCGGTGAGTTGTCTCCGGCACGCTGTCCTTCTCTCCGGCGTCCGATGACGAGCACGGCAATCCCCATCTTCTACTGGACATTGACGGAGCGCAGCGGGCAGTGAAGGTGCATGAAAAATTGTAGGCGGGAGGTTAAATGTCCAAACATAATTATATGATCTAATGGTTGTGTAGTGTAGGGACTAGAGTTTGAAAATTTAATAACACTTAGGGATTTGAGTGCAATTTCCAAACTTTTGATATATTTCAATTGAGTTAATTGGTTAAATGTGTAATTTATAAAAAATATAAAAAAATATTATTATATGTATATTTTGTATTTTCAGCAAAAACAAAATATTAAATAAAATATTAAAATATTTCATATATTTTTATAATTATAAATACGAAATATTTTTTTATTATGTAAATAATTTAATTAATACAAAATAATTTTAATTGATATACACATTTTAAATATTTCTAAAATTGAAATGCACGTAAAAATTACAAGTTAATTATATTTCACAATAATGCAATATAACCGCACATTTGTGATTGTAGGAATGCACAATATTTATTTTTGTATTTTATATATTATGTCTCCAACCACAAATAATATAAAATGTTAAATTTAATATTAAAAAACTCTAAAACATTTTTTTATATAAATAACAAATTATTACAATTATTTCGGTTAAATGAAAAGAATCGGTTAATAGATCCAATAAATTAATTATTTCGGTTTGAAATTATTTTGGGTTGTGATAAATCATCAAGAATCCCTGCACTTGCATTGCACCATAGTGTTGTACGAGTTGCCCTTTAATGATTATCAGATTGCACAATACCGACTGAACTATGTAAAGAGTGATATATTTCGTCGTATATATTTTTTAGGTTTTATGAACAAAAATAATATAAGATATTGAATATAATGCTAAAATATTAAATATATTTTTATAATATTAACAAAAATTTATTTTGATTATTTACCAACATATTGCAGATTATCGAATTTGGTATTTAATATGTTACATATTTTCAACTAAAAAATATTATAAAATATAATATATAAGTATTAAAATACTAATTATGCACCAACTAATTGCACTTTATACGCCAACAGATTGCACTTTATTCACCAACATGTTGCACCAAATAAATATTAAAGTTACAGTTACAGTAGTTCGTTTTATACAGCAGCATGTTGCACTTTACAAAACAATACGTTGCACTTTACAACACAATGCATTGCACTTTACGACGATTATCAGATTGCAATTTGATATTGAAACTTACCAAACACAATTTGTTTTTCAATAAAAAATAATATAAAAATAATAAATAAAAAATAGTAACGTAATAAATATAATTTTAATATAAATAATAAATTATTTCGATTATTTAGGATAATCAGTTAACCGAACAGAAAAAAACAAATAACTTAGTTTGGTTTCAATTTTATTTGGGACAAGATTTTGTTATAATCAATATGCACAATATCGGCCGACACAATGCACCATTGTGTTAGATGATTCGCTGACGGATGAAGGAGTTGATGGAGGCCGGCAGGGTTGGTGGTTTCGCAGTTACGACCGATGGTGCTTTAGTCTTCGAGGGAAGACTTTGTATTCTGAAGGTTTAGGAACTGCGACAGGAAATACTAAGAGAGGCTCACAGTGCCCCGTACACTGTCCATCCTGGTAGCACGAAGAGGTACCGGGACCTGAGGAAGATGTTCTGGTGGCGAGGAATGAAGAGGCAGGTAGCGAGGTTTGTAAACCAATGTCTAGTGTGTCAGCAAGTGAGGGCTGAGCACCAAAAACCGAGAGGGCTGTTGAAGCCACTTGAGATTCCCAATGGGAAATGGGAGCGCCTCACCATGGACTTCGTGGTGGGATTGCCGACATCGAGAGCCGGACACGACTCTATTTGGGTGATCGTGGATCGACTCACGAAGTCTGCCCACCTTTTGGCCGTCAGGATGACTATGAAGGCTAGTGATTATGCCGAGTTGTTCGCAGGTGAGATTGTTCGACTCCACGGGGTGCCCGTGGAGATTGTATCCGATCGAGACCCAAAGTTCACGAGTCAATTCTGGAAGAGTTTGCACCGACCCATGGGGACGAGGTTAGAGTTTAGTACAACCTTTCACCCCGAGGCAGATGGTCAGTCAGAGCGGACGATCCAGACCTTGGAGGTTATTTTGAGGGCTGTGGTCTTGGACCAGAGCCTAACTTGGGAGAGTTTACTGCCATTGGTGGAGTGGAGCCGTCCTACGATAATAGTTATCACACCTCGATCAAGATGGCACCGTACGAGGCTTTGTACGGGCAGAAAGTTTGGACTCCCACATATTGGGATGAGGTCGGAGAGAGGAAGATCATGGGTCCGGAGTTCATTTGTAGGGCTTCGGAACAGGTTGATGAGATCCGAAAGAGGATCAAGTCTGCCGAGGAGAGACAGAATGAGCATGAGTATGAGGTTGGCGATCACGTCTTTCTAAAGGTCTCACCCACGAAGGGTGTGGTTCGCTTCGGAAAGAAGGGGAAGCTTCAGCCTCGCTGTATCGCGCCCTTTAAGATCCTTGCTCAAGTCAGAGACTTGGCTTATCGGCCAACTTTTCCACTGAACTTGTCGAGAGTGCATGACGTGTTTCATGTCTTAATGTTGCGTAAGTAAGTGCATGACCCTGACCACATGGTGGACTTCGGCGAGTTGCAGATCGAGTGAGACCTTACCTATGAGGAGGTACCGGTAGTCGTACTGGACTGGAAGGTCCACCAGCTGAGGAACCGGGCAGTGAGTCTTGTGACGGTGCAATGGAGCCGACATGACGAGTCCGAGGCGACTTGGAAGACTGAGGCCGATATCAGGAGGAGATATCAGAGCTTCATGTTTTGATTTCCCCTTGTATTCTTTTGCTTTCTAGTTGTTTTGTTTTTGAAATTCCGAGGAAGGAATTCCTTTTAAGTTGGGTAGACTGTAGTTCCCCGTTCAATTGTTGGATTTTATTTAATTATATGGTATTATTTTATTTTGGCTATTTATGATTATTTCTCGATTAAAGACATCATATTATATTGTCTTAAAGATGATATAATGCTCCATTCGATTTCATCGAATTAAGTCGTTCAAAATTTCAGTTTAAACCGGACCAAGAATCGATTTTTATCATTTGCGTATGGTTCGAACTGAGCCGAAATCAAACCGGGGTCAAATCGAACACTTAGAAATATTTTTCCAAGTCATTTAACCCTAGAAGTCATAAAATTATCGTAACAATCTCAGTGTGTTTTACTTAAATTTAACATTATTTGCTTATAAAAAAATTGTTGAGTTATTTTTCTCATGCATGATTCTAGCCAATTTCGAATTCAATCAACTTGTTTTCATTTCCAATCAAGAATATAGAATCCCGTCTAGTAACTTATGTCTAATATGCTTGCCACATTCGATTAAATTTACCAAAAGGCAAACAAACATGTGTTATTTGTCCTCTTTTCTTTAAAAACAACCATCAATTTGTTGACCTAGAAATGAGTGGACATATATATATAAATGTAGATGCACATGTGGGGCCACGGGTCAGAGTTCTGGAAGGGTCCAAAGTCTTTGAGGGGCAGCCAGCCGGCAGCCATGCTGCGGCTGGCGTGCTGCTGCTGCGCTCAGGGCTGCAAGAACAATATAAACAACCCGCGCGCACGCCCACTCAAGGACTTCCGCACCCTCCAAACCCACTACAAGCCCAAGCACCGGGCTCGACCCTTTGCCTGCCGCCACAAATCATGCAGAAAGACTTTTTCCGTGAAAGGTGACTGGCGCACGCACGAGAAGAACTGCAGGAAGCTATTGTTCTGCATCCGTGGCTCTGACTTCAAGCACAAGCGCTCTCTCAAGGATCACGTCCGCTCCTTAGGGAAAGGCCACTCTCCCCATCCTTCCCTCGAGGACGAGAGAGATTGTTCCATCACGCCCGGCTCTGAAGACGAGCCTTGACTTTTTTATTTTTATTTTTACATATAAAAAATTAAAAGGTCTTAATTAGTATCGTATTTCGTAAGTGTGTGCACGAGAGAGTGCTCGGTAGAAAAAAATTCCCTTACCTAATACGTGGGATTCGTTGTTCTGTATTCTGAATGTTATCAGCACACGCGAGTTGAGTTGAGCTGATAATATTCAGAATAGGGAGAGACACGCTGGGGAACAGTTTGCTATGGAGCACCATGAGTTGATAATTAGGTGGTTTAAGTTTAGTGTTGGTGATGGTTAAGAGGTTTGCAGATTTGGTGTTTTGTGTGTTTGGAATAAGAGGAGATTAATTAATACGTAATGTGTAATTTGTGGAGCTGATGAATTTTCTTCCTTGTGTTTTGGGTTTGTTGTGGAGCCTAACTAGGAGTCGAGGAAGAAAATTTGTCAACTTTTGAGTTGTGCGGTGTTTTCTAGTTGATATAGCCATATAAAGATATACCGGCCCAAAGGCTCCCTACTTGACCGGATAATGGCTCGAATCGATTCGTCATGTCGACACGGGCCAGTCGGCATGTTGAAGTCGATTCCTCTAGGTCGACTCTTAACAAGGACGATAACGAGAAGTAGCAGATGCCCTACAAGTCGACTCTTGGAAGTCGACATCATTCAGTCGACTTCCCGAAAGTCGACATCTATCCGAGAAAACCAACAAGAGCGTAGCCTCCGAATAACCAAGAGATCCTAGGTGGACTCGTTTTTACTTGAGGTCGACTCCTTGTACCTCGAGACGAGAGGTATTCCAACGACTCCTTATACTTGGTATATTTCTTGGAACCTCTTGACCATTAATGGATAAGAAGGAATCTTGAGATGACTCAGCAGGGAGGGGAGATGAATCGACCGGGGCATTTTGGACCTTTTAGGTCCACGGACTTGTGCATTTTGGGTACTTCAGGTAAGTATTCACTCCTATATAAAGGAGATGAGGTAACGCCAAACCCTAACTCTCATTCATTCCACACTCCCCTCATAGCTGTTGCGCAGCATCCCTTCATCACTCTCATACTGACTTGAGCTTTGGAAGCTCTACACCGGAAACACTTCTGGCGTTGAGTTTTTGCAGGTATTCTCGCGGTCTAGTGACGATTCAGAGGCGGTTCAAGTAAATCTGATCTCAAATCCACCGGTTCTCTTCAGATCTAGAAGTAGACCCATCATTTGGCACCGTCTGTGGGGGGTTCTTGAAGGAAGTAAGAGCTTCACACCTAGCTCCGATCTGTTTGGTGATGGCGGAGAAGGAGGGTTTGCAGAGGAATCTGAACGAGGAGTTTAGGGGAGCGTGGACAGACAAGAGGCCACCACCACTTTCTACCCCTAGACACCCAGTGATGCAGATGCTGGGAATGCCACCATTTGGAAGACCTCCACCACCGGGGCTGACATTGGGTGGAGAAACTCCCGTCACTCCAACCGGAGCGAAGATTCAAGTGTTAACCCAGGCAGGAACAAGTCAAAACCTTAACCCAGATGGAGAGAAGGAACCAACAGAGATGTCTCGACGCGAGGGAAAGCAGATACAGGAGGTACCGGAGCAGACACAACCCCGCGTCGAGGAGCAGACCTTGACGATGATGAGGAGCGAAATGCAAAAGATGATCGCTGAAGCTGTGGCCGCCCAGATGAAGCTTGTGGCATCGGTCGAGCAGCAGCCTCGTGTCGAGCAACAACCTCGTGTCGGACAACAAGCTCAGTCAAACGTACAACAGAACAGAAGGGTGGACGAGGAGGAATTCTCCATTCGAACTATCAATCCGCAAGTGAGGGATGAGACGCTGGAACAGTTGCTGGCCCAGGTCCGCGACTTACCGGCTCGAGTTGGAGGGAGGAAGAGCAGAAGAGCAAAAGAACACCCATTCTTGCAGCAGATCTTGAGAGCCGACTTACCTAAAGGCTTCAGGGAGTTGAACATATAGTACGATGGCTCTACTGACCCGTCTCGACATCTGAGGAGTTTTGAAAATATGGCAGTGCTCCACCGCTACAGCGACCCAGTGCAATGTCGCGCTTTCTTGACGACTTTGATAGGGTCGGCCCAGGACTGGTTTCACCAGCTACCAGCTGGGTCGATTAAGGATTTTGATGGCTTCAGCTCGAGTTTTCTCAATCAGCTTGCAAGTGTGAGGGTGCAGGAGAAGTCCTACCTCTCGTTGATTAGCATGCAACAGAAGAAGGGTGAGTCGTTCGAGAATATGTGGCAAGGTTTACAAAGGCGTGTGTCGAGTGTCCGACGGCAACAGAGGAAATCAAATCAGGAGGACTGACGAGGGGACTACTACCAGGGTTATGTAAGAACTCTTTAGCCAAACGACCTGGTAGGAGTTTCGATGACGTGTTGGGGAGGTGTGCCAAGTATATGAATGTCGAGGAAGCAGAAGCCGACTACTTGAAAAGCGTGAAAATGTCCCAGACTGATAGCTGAGATGACAAGAAAGAGAAGAAGAGTCAGTCGACAGGAGAAAGAAGAGGATCACCGCGAGCGGACAGGAGTGAAGGACGATCTAGAGGATGGAGGCCGATTCAATACACACCCCTGTCGGCCCCTCACGTGAGAATTCTAGAAGTAATGAAAAGGGAGATCCGTGACGATGTGGTGAGATGGCCGCGAACAAGAAAAGATGGACCAGTGAAGCCCAAAAGCAACTTATACTGTCGATTCCACAAATATTATGGGCACAACACTGATGACTGCAGGCATTTAAAAGACGAAATCGAGAGGCTGATGAAGGCGGGTCACTTGAAGGAGTTCATATACAAGGACCGCAAAAGGTCGAGCAGGAGGAGAGAAAGAAGAAAAAGCCCGCGTAAGAGGGCAAGGTCATCGGAGAAGGAAGAGCTCCCCCCGAAAAGGGGAGTAATTAACATGATTTTTGGAGGGTCGACAGATGGAGATTCCAATCGAGCAAGAAAGGCGTATGCTCGAGGCCGATATGCAAAAGTCGAGGTGCAGCAGGTCGACGAGAGTGGGCCAGTGATGAACTTTGGACCACACAATGATGCCCTGATGATAACCGCACAGATATCAGGGTACGAGGTGCAAAGGGTATTTGTCGATACAGGAAGTTCTGTAAACGTGATTTTCTATGAATGCCTCAGAAGGATGGAGCTTAACATTGAACTTACGCCTCTACATACATCACTCTTTGGATTCAATGGATCAGAAGTCACTCCCCTAGAAGAAACCACGCTCGCTGTCGTCCTGGGGGAAGGCGACTTGAGAAAGGTAAAAATGGTGAGATTTGTGGTGGTTGACGTTGAGTCGGCGTATAATGTGATCCTTGGGAGGCCGACGCTCAATGCCTTCCAAGCAGTGGTGTCGACTTATCACATGAAATTGAAGTTTCTCATTGGAGATCGAGTGGGAGAGGCTCGAGGGGACCAGAAGTTATCAAGAACATGCTATCAGATTGCAGTCAAAACTAACTAACGAGTTGAGGTCAAGGAGGGTAAAAAACCGATGTCGAGTGAAAAGAGGCCGAGAGGGAGTGACCTCGAGCCCATGGAGAGTTGATGGAAATATCGAAGGACCAAACCACCAAAGTCGGGAGAGAGTTGGAGGACGAGTTGCGGGAGCAGTTAGTGGGATTGTTGAAGGAATTCATGGACATATTTGCCTTCTCTCCTGAAGAGTTAACGGGAATCGACCCGGATGTTATAAAACATAAACTCAATGTCGACCCCCTCAGAAAACCTGTGAAGCAACGACTCAGGCACCATGGCGCTGAAATCGACAAAGCAATTGAAGTCGAGGTGGACAAGCTGCTAAAAGCCAAACACATCAAGGAAATCCAAATCCCCGAATGGATATCTAAGTGATGGAGAGGAAAGCACTGAACAAATGGCGTATGTGCATCGACTTTCGTGACTTAAACCTGGCGTGCCTAAAAGATCACTATCCTTTGCCTAGAATCGATCAGCTAGTCGACTCCACAGCTGCCTGCGAGTTGCTGAGCATGATGGACGCATCTCCTTAGCTCCGGAGGATCAAAGTAAAGTGAGGTTTGTGACGAGTAAGGGGACGTATTGTTATGTCGTCATGCCCTTTGGCCTAAAAAATGCAGGAGCAACTTACCAACGATTGATGGATCGCATGTTCAAACCTCAGATCGGTCAAAATATGGAAGTATACGTTGACGATATCCTGGTCAAGAGCAAGTCCTCGACTTCACACCCAGACGACTTAAGGAAAACATTCAACACCCTTAGGGCGTTAGGAATAAAGTTGAACTCGAGCAAGTGTGCCTTTTGTGTAAAGACGGGACGATTTCTAGGATATGTCGTCACAGAACAAGTAATCGAGGTGAACAAAGACAAGGTGAAGGCCATACTCGACATGGCCCCACCACGAAACATCAAAGACGTGCAAGTGCTGACAGGGAGGATTGCGGGCTTGAGCAGGTTCATTGCTCGAGCGGCCGAGAGAAGTTTCCCTTTTTTCAAATTGCTCAAGAAGAAGACGGTTTTCAGATGGAGTGACGAGGCGCAGATGGCCTTTAAAAAGTTGAAGGAGTTTCTGAGCGAGCTGCCCTTGCTGACTAAACCAGAACCAGGTGATGAATTGATATTATACATCTCGGTAGGTGTCACACCCCGCCTTACTACTAGCTTTGAAAATCAGAGTAAAATTTTTTGTTTTTATTTTCGAAGGAACGTGGGAGCTGGGTTTTCGAAAATACTGACTTATTGCGGGATGTGGCAGATAAAAACTTAAACTGAAACTTAGGCTTGCCCACAGACATAATAAAACATGCAACCAAACTGTCCGCTCGCGGATTATGGAATTATACATGCATAGTCTGTACTATCTCGCACTGTCTAGAAGAACTCGCTGGCGGAAGCATCCGAAATACGAATACATAACATGCGTACATAAACTGAATAAAATACACATGATCATAAATCTAGGACATAAAAATGCTGGTAAGATATGTCCGACTCTCATGACCACGCTGCGCCACATCTGTGCT